TTTGGGACTTGTGACAAAGACTTGGTGTTGACGACATTCCCATCTCTCCCTCTCCTCTTCGTCTGATCCCCTCCTCTTCGTCTGTGTATGTCTGGACCTGGCGCTTGCTTCCTGTGTACAGCGCCAGGCTCCTTCACACTTTGTGATGGACACGATGTATGTTTGGTCTGAGTTCAAACCTTGATTGGGCTAGTCATTAGCATTCTAGCATTCTGCTTCGCTATCTTATACTACGTGAATGAGGTCAGTCCCGGTCAGGTCAGGATTTGTATCTAAGTCTTCCCTGCGCTATTCAGCACCATTTTGTATGTATCGAAATGCACATTGCTTGTTTAGATTCTACTTGCACTGCATTGTCCATTCAGTCCTTTTCATCACATTGCGGGTCCTTGGTTATTATGTACATCGCCCATCTGGGCATGTAACATCAGGAGAGAAACTCTTCAAGTGTCGAAATACAAGAAGTTTCAGCGCTGATAAATGTCTCCAATAATCATGAAATGTGATCTGTATACAATGTCTCGTAACCATAAGACGAAGTAGATAGGAGGGAGAATAGACTTAGAGGGTGGAAGAGAAAGTATCCATCAATGTCTCTGTAGATCAAACTCCTTCAATCCCCACTTCTGCTTTGGGCGTCTCCCCACATCCATGTCAGCAAAGTGCCCCAGAAACGAGTCTGACGAGATCTGATCACAACATAGTGCCTCGTAGGCACAAGTCTCCCATGAAGACGTCTCTGCAGCGCGCAATGTCGACAGCATCAACAGGTAAGTTTCCCCGCCTCTCTCAATCAATCCCACAGTTCCTGATCTCCCTCCTTGTCGCATCCCCAATCTGCGTCGAAGACAGTGTGGCATGCGCCACGTCAGCAATGTCAGAGACAGCGTGGCAAGTGCCACGTCAGCATCCAAGAAGACAGCTGGCGGCAGAAACAGAGAGGCGCCAACACGCATAGCAGCAGTCTCGCGTCGTCGTCGCACAATGCCAGCGTAGAGCCAGCGTCTTGCCAGCGTCCAGCCAGTCTCAAGCCAGCGTAGTGCCAGCGTCAAGCAGCAAGTGCAAGACTGTTGACCCCCAGCGGGTGGGTCAATAAGTAATGTTGACGCCGTTGACCAGCCTCTGGTCTCTCACGTGCGGAGGCTCAGATTGACTTACCGCCGAAGGCGTGGATCTCGTACAATTACAGACTTCCACTTGGACCAAATGCTGCCTGGATACCTGCGACAACCAAGTGTGTGTGTCTGATTGGTGGCCTGGACTGGGTCCGTGAAGACTTTGTCTCGTGATCCTCAATATTCCGTTACTTCGGTCAACTGTCTAGCGCAGGGCCTCTGAAGCCTTGTTTCAGGGGCTCTGCTTACCCCAGTCGGATGCAGGGCCTTGAGGCCGGTTTGTGGCCCGTGGGTGGCCCCCTTTTGGGCGACGGCATAGGCATATTTGAGCTGGTTATTGCAAAGGTATGATCATGCTATGATGTCATATCTATAAGTCATCCTCAGTCTGAAAGGGAAGCCAACGATTGGTTTGATATCATCCTATCCAGTAGGTTCCCTTGCGTACCCTTTTGGCACAGGTTGTATTCAGCCTCTGTGATTCAACCACTCACTTGTGTAGCAGGCAGCTGAGTCTGAAGACCACTTTGGCCCTCGTGTGAATAGTAAGACACCACTCTTGTATGAGCCTGTATCATGAGCGCATGTGTAACCTGTAACAACTTCAAGATTTCATGCCCTTGCACTTCTGGTATTCTGATCCTCTTCCTGTTTGCTTGTGTACACATCTGTGAAACTGTGTGCATAGCCATGTGTGTGAATATCTGTTGATGTGCTGCACTCTGTCACTTCCACCTGGTGTTTTGCAGGTCCGCCACCAAGAAGTCTGTTTACAAAGCTTGGCCCAACTGGTCTGGTCATTGTCCTCATTGTCTCCCTTTCCTTACTTCTCATAGCTGTGTCCATGGTTGTGTACATCACGGGTCAAGCAAGGTGCTCAGGGAAGATATTTCGAAAAAGTGCAGGAGTATCAGGTGAGTTAGAGGCACTCTGCGTGGGCCAAGTTCAAGGTGGTCTTCTGCAACCTGCTCTCCTTTACTATTCTCTCTTCAGCCCTGCACAACCCAACCCACTCTCTCTGGCGCAAGTGTTGTTGTTGTTGTCGTTGTTGTTGTCGCCGTCGTTGTCGTTGTCGTTGTCGTTGTCGTTGTCGTTGTTTTCGTTGTTTGTCACACTTCTTGTTGGCGTTGTACTGGTGGTTCTTGTTGTTGCTGTTGCTGTTGCTGTTGCTGTTGCTGTTGCTGTTGCTGTTACCGTACTGGTTGTTTTTGTTCTTATGGTTGGTGTCGCACTTCTTGTAGTTCTACTTGTGTTATTCGTGTTGGTATTGTCGCAGTAGTCGTTATTGTACTACTACTTGTTGTTGTTGTACTTGTTCTTAGTGCTGGTTTGCTTGTTGTTGTTGTACTTTTTGTTGCACTTGTTGTTCTAGTTCTTGTTGTTGTTATACTAGTGACACTTGTTGTACTTGTTGTCTTTGTTGTTGTTATACTTGTTGTTGCTGTGGTTGTTCTTCTTGTGGTCGTTGCCTTGTTGTTGTTGTACACGAGTGGCCTTTGTGCCATATTTCTCGGTAGTGTTGTTGTTGACGTTGTTATTGTTATTGATGTTGTTGTTATAATTGTTCTTGTACTCGTTGTTTTTACTGGTTGTTGTTGTTGTTGTTGTCGTTGTTGTTGCTGTTGCTTCTGCTTCTGCTGCTGCTGCTGCTGCCTCCTCCTCTTCTTCTTCTTCTTCTTCTTCTTCTTCTTCTTCTTCTTCTTCTTCTTCTTCGTCTTCGTCGTCTTTGTCATCGTCGTTGCCTTCGTCTTCTTTGTCGTCTTCGTCGTCTTCGTCATCTTCTTCGTCTTCTTCGTCCGCTACTTCTTCTTCTTCTTCTTCTTCTTCTTCTTTTTCTTTTTTTTTTTTCTTTTTTTTTTTTTTTTYTTTTTTTTTTTAAATCAAAACAGGTCCTTATGGCCCCGGCTCCATTTCCATTCTGGGGAGCATCAGTCCGGTTCCTATTCCACCGGCAAGTCAAAAAAAAATATTACATCATGAACCCACTCACGCTTCCTTCCGTCCGGCCGAAGGAACCCTGAACAGCACCTGCGTGGAGGATTGACTGTCAGCTTGCCTTTCCTTCTTCTTTCCTCTCAGGTCTACTGCTTAAGCCTGTCGTATAAACAATAAGAACAAGAAAGAATAGGACGCCATGGAAGCTACAGTCTCTGAATCCAGACTCCACTCATTATGTGGCCTGTGATAGAGCTCGTCCTGCTGCTGACTGAGAACTCTGCCTCCTCCTCCCTGTTTCTGAATTGTGCCAGTCTTTCCACCTTATGTGAGAGTCGATTATCTCCGCCACTTTGCCCCTTGCAAGCCACACCTTAATAAAATTTGCCTTGATTTTTTCCTGTTGCTCTACGTCGTCCGGCATAGATTGTCTTGTCTTATGCCATTTGCAAAGAATCTCAGCCTGGATCATGGTCTTTGTCTCCGCCCATACCTTCTCCCTTGGAGTCGAGAGTCCCTCAATAGTTCTGCAGCACCTTTCCTTCCAGATGGGCCACAGCGTCGTCTTTCGGATCATTCCAAACCAACTTCTCTGACTTATGAAATTGGGCAGGGATGTTAGTCCATAGAAGGAGTTGGACAGGATGTTCGGGGAGGGGAATCGGGAAGAGGGAGTCCCATAGATCCGAGGCTCTCGCCCAGTATTCGGTCGCCTCTTTACAGCGTATCAGACAATGTAATATATCTTCAGGCTCGTTTTGTGAACAGACCGTGCATAGATCTGAGCTGTTAGGGTCGTTCTTCTTTCTTCTGATATGCAACCACTGGTTGACTGGCAGAGCTACATATGTGATGAGCCATTGGAGGCTCCTAATTTTRACTGGAYRAATTGTCTTGAATTTGTTCCATGGTATTTGTGAAATCTGACTGGCGTCTTGGCCTATTAACTTCTGCCATCTGTTCTTGATCGTTGGATCCGGGTCTTTTGTTTTGAGGAGTAGATTGTATCCCAGTTTAACAGTGTATTCCTGAATGGGGATATACGTTTTGGGACTTCTGGTTCTGTYYGGTRTCCAAGCCCACTCCGCTGGGTCAAATTCCAAATCTTGAATYGCCGTATCTGCTCTGAATATTGTTTTTGGCCATGATCCCAGCACCCTTACTTTTCTTAGTACAAAGGGGTTCAGGACTGTTCTTTCTACCTCTTGATTCAGGATTGATGGAAGGCCTTGCGTCGAGGAGGTAATTGGGAAAGAAGTGAACACCGCCAGGGTATCCGATCCTTGCTGTTTATGGGAGAATTGATAGGCCCTGGATGGAGTTAACTCCTGTATCTTCACTCCCCATTCGCCCGATTTCCAGGTTGCAGCTTCAGTCAACAGATCCTTCCAGCCTTCTGGGAAGCTGTTGATAATAGATTGTAGATTCTCGTCTCGCCGGTGACAGCCTTTCAGTTGGGAGGCAAGTTCCTGTTCTGTCACCCAGTCCTTTCTGTTGTCATTCCACAGATGGCTCACTTTCCAAACACCATGTTTGATCCACGATAACCATCTCCTTCCTCTAGGGTTAAGGGATAATTGGTGGTCACTTTCGTCTCTCACCCACGGATTACCACACAGAGGTTGTCTCAGAACCTCGTCTTTGGATTTGGGTTTACCCACCTTTTTTGGCATGACCTCCCGCCATGTCCGTAATAGTGCCGTCCAATAGGGTGTAGGGGGCCTGGCTACGTTTGGGTCAGTTCCTCTTCGTTGATTTCTGCGTCCTGTATTCAGAATCCAATCCTTGGACATTACCCAGAACAGACCGGACA